TTGTCAGGATTTGAAGCAATACGTACAAATAGTCCAACAGCCCTTACTAACATCTCATATACATTCAGAGCCCCCACTGAAATGATTTGGGAAGAACAGTCGTGTTACCTTCTTCACAGTTATGATGCCGACTTGGAAATTGGGATCTGTGTTGATGTCAAAGGCATCTGCACCATCCCCGTCCACGATGGTGTACTTCATCTCTGCGTTGGTTCCCTCGTCCAAGTCCTTGGCAAACACCCTGCCCACGGTGGAGCTCACCGGGGCCGATTCCAGCACGCTCATCTGGTAGTGTTCTGTGAAGAAAGGTCACAACATGCATTCTTGTCATCTGCCACTGTAAAAAATGCTTCATCAGTATCACACGTCAGGCATGCTGTGCAAAGCATCTTCCCCTGGTTCTGCAATTAAAACTTAAGTTCTGCCGATGAAAAACAGATCCAAAGAGGTTGAGTGAATGGTGTCAGTTCATGGCCTGTACTAGGTGTTCGAGAAGGAGGGGCCAAAATAGCTTGACCAGAATCCTAAGAGCAGGACAGGACAAAAGCAAAAATATTTATTTCAGTGAATCTACCTTCAGAGTGGTAGGAAGGAAGTCCCTTGCTTTCCAATCTTTTCATTCTTCCTAATGAACCATTTTCCAAAGTGTTAATTCCTACTGAAAAAAATAGTAAAATGGTCACAAAGTGCATATTTATTCTGTTCACATTTCAAATGCCTGCAGTTTTTTTCGTTGTCTGGCCAGTGAACTGAGTGTCCATCTCTGTGACCACTTGTCCATATTTAATGGCAGCCAGTGACTGACTGGTACGGGAGGCAGAGCCTCAGAGAGCACACTCCACCAGCTCCACGTGTTGTCACCTGGGTCTGCCCGCTGGCAGCCCCTCCATGGACAAATCTCTGATACTTCTTGTTCTCTTGTTCCAGAATAAAATACCTGCAAAGTTTTCACATATGGAAGAAGCTCAGAGCTGGTAAATTCTTTTCAACTTGATATCCTGAATTCAAAATTAAGTTTAGTTAATTTTCATCTCAGTGGAGTTGTATCTTTGCTAACTTCCCTTCTCTGGCATTCAACTTTCTGATGTTCTTCATTGTTTTGTCACTTAGAATGTAACTGACTCAATAACAAAGAAAATCACACAATCATACTCCAATATACATGGTCTTTTTATTCCAGTATGTATTGTAAGCTACAGGGAAGCCCTGGTAATGACAGCTTGAGTCTCACAACGATTTCGGGGAGGCTGTCAGCATCCAGCCAGCTCACAGCACCCTCCGTTGCACAGGAGAAGAAATAATGCGTGTTTTTTGCAAATATGAGCCAGGAAATCACTAATGTGTGTACCAAGTTGGCAGGCACTTGGAAATCATGATCTCTTTTTATTCAGTTTCAAAGTTGTTGATGCATTAGACTGCTGCTGCAGAACTTTTGGGAAAAACAAACAGTATCTGCCTGTAATTTTCTCCACACCAGGAAAGCTATGTGTTCTGTGTTTCAGCAAACATATGCATAAAATTTCTACACGTGATACATTATATTATATTAGAAATAGCCTGAGATCTTGCTGTTCCATTATATTTTGCTCAGTTTAAAGGTGACAGGGCTTATTCAATATAAAATAGTAGGTGTGTCATTTTGTCAACATCTAATAATCAGTTATGAAGGAAAAAAAGAAGGAAAATGGAATTCCTAGAATGAGAAATCAGAAATTAATTAATTATTAATTAATGCAGAATAATTTATCTAAGGTATGTTTATGAGATCATTTAAACTTAGTTTTCAATAGTCAGAGGGGGGAAATATTTAAGGGTGAGATAAACATTTTTAAAAGCCCCCAAATAACAGCTCTTTTAGAGGAAGCAGAGATAATATGGGAAGAATGTTTGGAGTCATCACTTTCACACATTTCCATTTTGTCTTCGCTGCAACACAATCCCTACTTGCCCTCTGCTAGATTCTCCATTCTTTCAAAAAAGTGGTGACTGAAAGTATATGCTTTAGCATAGTGTTAAGATGTTGGCTTGGGGGGCAGGACTAAAGCCCCGGTTGTCATTGTATTGTGTGATGCTGTTGTGAAGCCACCATGTTTGGGGGGTAAGACTTTCCTACAGAATGTCCAAGCTGTGAGCTCTGCAATAACTCCCTACTTTTGCCCTTTCTGCTTTCATCAGAGATTCGTCTAGTGTCCAATTTAAAAAGCCACACAGTATAGTCCAGGATGTTCAAGAATCTACAGTCTGCAGCGTGCACACTATAGTCGTTCATGAAATAATAAAGATGGACCCCCAGAGTCAGTAATGCAGAAAGAAAGCAGTCCATATGGCATTTCAGAAACTCATGCATTACTCTTTTGTGCTGTAGAGCCAGTCAGCTTAGTGACCTCCTTACTCACACCACTTGTGCTGACTGACTCACAAATACTATTCAGCTGATGGTCTAGCTTAATTCTTTTGTTTTTTTGTTTCTTCTTCTTTTTATTTTTTTAACCTGATTTCCCTGGAATGTGTTCTCTAACTGCCTCCTCTGAGCAGCTGCTTCTGAAATTCGCATCTCCGTTCCTGGGCTCCAGCCCACAGTATTAGCTCTGTTATTTCCACCTTCCTTAAGGACACTCTGTCTGATTGACCTGCTGTCACTTGATATTCAAATCTGAATCTGTCTCCTTCTCCCTGCCACTAGTTGCATTGTGCATTTTCTCTTTCTATCAGTAGTATAATTCTTCTCCCAGACTGAAACCTCATTGTTGTCTTTGTCTCTGCCCTCTGCCTCAGTTCTCTTGGCCCAGAAAGCAAGAGGCAGAAATCCATCTTTTCTTATTTGTCCCACTCCATTCCTTTCGCCATTCCTTGAGTTCTTAGCAGTTCAAATCTGGACCACTCTAAGAGCCTCCTGATGGACTCCCCTGATTCTAGACTCCACCCAGGCTAGCCTGACCAGTACATGGCTATCAGGTAAGCCTTTCTTTATGTCTCCCTTGCTCAAAAACTCCTCAGTGACTTCCGCTAGAAATATAATGTACTTGAAACAATGACAAGTAGGTCTCCATTTTAGGTGTCTTTGAACATAAAATTACATTTGCAACTTTATTTCCAGGTCTTTATGTATACATTTTTTGCCCCTTGTATTCGTGCTACTCAGATGAGCTCAGGAGAGCAGAGATTTCATTTGTTTTGTATACTGCTCTGTTTCCTATGCTTAGAATCGTGGCCAAAAGAAATGTTCTTTGAATGAATGAATGAATGGCTTTCTCCTTCTGGAATGTTCTCCTTTCTGCCTGTTTAAATCCTTTACATGCTTCAATTCCCAGTTGAAACCTTCTCCTGTGAAGGTGCCTTTCTTCTTAGTATATTGTAAAGGCTTCGTTCTGCACTGACCAGGTGGCGCAGCAAATACTGCTTCTTGGTTTGCTTTTACTGAGTGTAGAATGTATACTCCCCACGTGGATTTTGTGCTTCACAGGGGCAGGTGGTGGATTTCAAGCATCTTGAGGCCAGTGCCCTTACAAAGCACCTGCTTGGCACCTGCTTGTGAATTGACTGATCAAGGTGGCCACATGGGGCCCTGTGTTCACCTGCAGTTCTGGCTTATTTCCCTGCATGCATGCTCAACAGGGACAGTATTGCCCCCAAGGGGACAAAAATTGGTTCTGGTGGTGCAGAAAGGTGAAATAAATCTTAGATATTACGTGGGTTGTGGCTCTCCAAAGTTCAACCCTGGTTAACAAAATCTTATCCCTCTGTATTTCATTTTATTGGGATTGGTGCAGGGCGTGGCGGTCAAGGAAAAACGTCTGAAAGGGCTCCAGAGGGAGGTGAAAATGGGAAAAGTGAGGAACACGGTTTGGCGCTACGGATGTGGAGATCCTCAGGGGGACTGGTCACGTGAGGGTTGCATGCTAAATGTAGGAAAGGAATCCATGAAAGCCTGAACGTGAAGACGATCTCACACTGACCTTTCTCACCTCTCTAGTAGGTCATCTCTCTGGCCTGACATCTGTGCTCTGACTGGGGAGGTACTCACTCTGGGGAAAGCGGGGTGGGTTATCGTTGACGTCCGAGAGGGTGATGTTGACCGTTGTGGTCCCAGCTAATCCTCCAAGCTGCCCTCCCATGTCCTTGGCTTGGATAATCACTTCATAGTACTCTTTGGCTTCTCGGTCCATGTTCATGAGTGCCGTCCTAATAACACCTGCGGGATAGAAACAACTTTGTTTTGAAAATCACAACCACAGTCCAGCTTTTAAGATTGGTTTCTAGGTTTCTCACTTGTGCACTGTGACTGCTTAGAGCAAGTCACCTATATTTTATTAAACTTGAGGTCCGAAGCCCAGTTTCAAAGAAGTGCTGTGCTTAAATGGTGAACAAATACTCTTCCAGCAGGCAGAGCTTAGACGCCGATTTCCTCGGGCACCATTACTGAGACAGACAGGAGGGGGCAGCAACGCTCTCTAACCGACTTGGGCAGTCGTAGTCTGAGGCAGCTGCAGGCTCCTCTCACCAAAGGAAACTGGGGCTTTGGGTCCAGAAAACAAAGCCTTATATGTTGCGAATCAGTAATTTTAGATGATTCTCCTTCGGCTCCTTCTTTCTTCAGCCCCTAGAGCCCTAGTGTGAATGACTCTTCTTTAGGCAACTCACCCCTAGTCTGTTTTTTCCCGCCTCCCCAGCACCTATGAGCAGGGTTGGAATTCTGATTTGATTTTCCTTTTGTTATATATCCATTCTGTATTGTTATGTTCTGCTTCACTCTATGCTTCTCTGAATTTGTAAGCTAGGACCTGAAAGATGCTCTGTGACTTGTTTATTTTTAACGTGCAATAAGGGATGAACTTCCTCAGACAGTAAGTGGCAGTGTGATGATAGTTTCATTTAAGTCCAGGGGTCTAAATAAAAATGCAGTGAAATGTTGTTTTGATCCAGCCAAGGATGTGCAGTAATGTTTCATTTCCCTTTTAACCCTTCCACTTAGAAAAGTTGACTTCTGTGCACTCTAGGCAAAGATGAAAGCCTTGTGTACTGCAAGTTCACAACAGGACCCTTGGCTAAATAGACCTTTTGCATGCAAAGGGAAGGGCCTGGGAACCACAGACCTGTCCCCAGTTTACTCCTAGAATGTATATACTGCATTATAGTAACAACATTCTAAAGTGAAATATGCAGCATTTTCTTTTTTCAAATGCCCCATGGGCACAGCAGTAACTATCTTTTCATGTAGTTTTGACCTTAACCCTAAAGATGTCCCTTGGGAGCTGTCAAAATAATATAAGGTTCCTTTTAGGATATAAAGGACACATTACCGTCTTCCTGTCTGTATTTTTCCTCCCTGTGGGCTTGTCCCCTATGGGCCCTTACCCCATCCGTGGAATTATTAAAGTTGCTATTTTATTGAAGTCCCTAAGTGCAATTTTTTTCTGCCTACTAATTTACAATTCCTCACTTTCTACCTTTATGTTATACTTTTCTGAATGCCTGGTTCCCCTTAGGTCTTCTGGAAAAAATTCTATCAGGTTGCTAATAGAAATGTCTTTTTTCTCTTTCAAATAAAGAGGTGACTTTGAACATTCACCATTGACTTTACCTCTGTGGCTGGAGTTTCTTTACTCAATTTCCCTGTCAGTTACTGTTAGGCCCTCCATTTTCCTGTATGTAAAATGGGAATAGCAATACTTCCATGTATTTCCTGAGTTCACAAGAGTATTGGGAGTCTCCAATGTGGTAACATTTATGAAAGTATTTTAAAAGGGAGTAAGCCCCATGCAAGTGATAGATAAAATCATTCTGCCCAACTTGGAGGTGTTGAAGGGGATCTTTTACAGATAAAACATACAAATTCTGTAGTCAAGCTCCTGAGGTCAAACTTAAAAAAAGCAAAACAAAAACAAACTGCGTTGGTTTGTCCTTTTCTGCTATTGCATCTTACGCATCTGGTTCTCTATGCTGTCCTCCCTGTTAGAACTTCCCACTCAGCACTGACCTTTGTGAGGGCCACCTCCCCTGCTCTGTGTTCTTTTCCCCCTCGTCCAAACCTGTCTGTCTCAGCATTCATTCCTTTGGCCTGCCTTGTTCTCTGCTTAGTTCAGGTGGTTCAGTGGAAAGAACGTGAGCCTACACGCCGGGGGGCGTATCTGCACTCAGTTCCCGCTTCCCTTATCTGTTCAGTGGTGATGGACTGGAGGCTCTTTCTAGGTTCTCTCAGGTCTTCCTGGAGTGATAAAAGACCTTAATCCCTGGGAAGAAATACAATTGTAGGGTTTACTGAAGGCCAGTAAGAACGTACTTCTGTGGAGAGGCAGGCCTTAGGGCCTGTCCAGTCAGCCCCTGCATACTGTCTATTCCCAGTGCTGTGACCGCCCCCGACCAGGGCAGTGCTGGTTTGCTCTGTTAGTCCTAAAGGTTATAACAATCTTCTGTGGTTAATACACTCCCTGGAGAGTCCTCGAAAAACAGAGTTGGCCTGGTCATACGGAGCAGTTACAAATAATAAAGTGAACACTTCTACTTAACTGTTATATCAAATACCTGTTTTGGAATCCACAGAGAAATATGGCTGGCCCTGGAGAATGCTGTATACAACCCGGGCACTGCTGCCGTAGGTTGGATCGTCGGCATCTGTGGCTGTCACCTGGATAACAGAGGTCCCTGCGGAAGAGAGATGGTGGAGGCCTGTTGAAGTGGAATTGCTGAAGGCTGGTGCAGTCCTGAGCGGGCCGCCCTAAAGTATTTGCAGATGTTAGGTTTGCGTCCTTGTGTGAGAGCCCCTTCTAGGTCAAGCTTCCGCCACTCCTACCTTGCCTTTCTTTAGTGGGGACGGGAGTCATTTGTGTTTTATATTCTTAGTTACCAGTAAGGAGTCTTCATTGCTCTTCTCATAATGCCATAATACTTCTCCCTTACGAGTTAAACATTGTCTGTCTATCTGTCATTATCTGTTTATTGTCTATCTTTTGTTTTTAAAGAATCAGAAGTGAGTATAAATACTAAGTGTAGTACTACTATTATTTTGTACCATGACTAATTTCAGTGTCTCAGTAGCTTCCTGCCTGCCTAGGGACTTGGGTGTCATTTCTGGTTCAGTTTTTTAATTTGTGAGCTATTCACATCCTCCCTTCTCTGAGTATAGGCAGGAAGATGCCCCACTGTGTGTGAGAATCAGTGAATCTCCACCTTACCCACTGGCGACATTTCTGGCACTGTGGCGACGTAAGGGCCATCCAGGAACCTGGGCTCATTGTCGTTGATGTCTTGGATCTTGATGATGAATTCCGACTCCGGCTCCATCGGCCTGCCTGTCCGCCTGTCCAGGGCTTGTGCCCTCAGAGTGTACTGCGCCCTTTCCTCTCGATCGAGCCTCTGAATGGCGTGGATGTCTCCTGTGGTGTCGTCAATGGTAAACACGACGCCTGCGCCTTCTCCTGAGAGGATGTATTTGATGGATCCGTCCCCTCTATCCATGTCTGAATGAAGCTGAGAAAAGAAGAACATCGAAATCTCATTACGGATATGAATAGGTGTTGGAAATAGATTTTCAGTGTGGTCCAAACTTACGACCTCCTTTCAAACAGGAAGAATTTTTTTTTTCACTTAAGCATTTAAATCATATGTCTACAAAGAACTAATATGCATTGAACGTAACTGTATCAAAGAGCAAATATAGGTTGTTGAATAAAGTTCTTCCATGTCACACTCACATGTTTTTTTAAGTTCCTGTCCCTGAGAAGTGTAGAAAACAGGTTCTGGAAAGTGTAGTTCATCAATGTGAGAATAGGAGCAAGTCTAACAAGGATTTCCAACATTCCCACTTAAGAGGAAAAATAGACAATCCTAAACGTTTTAAAATAAAAAAAGTGGTATAAATTAAGTGTTGGAGTTTCAAAAACTTTATGGTGATTCAAGTTGGCTGAAAAACGGAAGATTAATAAATAGGCTTCGACCAATGTGCTCGAAATAGAAAATGACCTCCACAGGCTCTTGCACCTCTGATTCTGTGGTCCCAGTTCCTCTGTTTCACTCAGTAGGACTACGCTTATGTTGCTGGCTTTTACTCTTTGCATCAGTGTTTATCTCCTTTTGGTGGGATCAGTTCCTGGACTCATAATCGAATCACTCAAATCTGTGTGAATGGCTGAGTTATGCACAAGCTTTTACCTGCCCATCCAACTATGTTTCCTCCCAGATTACTTTGTAACAACTCTTGAAAGGAGCCTGTTTTCCTATTAGGCTCAGAAATACATTTCTGCATCTCTGATGACAGTGTGAGAACCCTGGAATTACATGGCCCAGGGGACAGCCATTACCTCTGCTGCTGCCTGGTTCTTAGCACGTTTCACAGTTCAACAATGAAGTTCATGCGATTTAGTATGTAAAAAAGACAACCGGTGTTAGGTTTAGATTGGGGAGGCAAATGCATCTGGTCCAAACACTATGTCAGTTATAAATTGAGTGCTCTTGACAAAATTTTTTAATGTTTGTTACTCTCAAATTCCTCATAAATGTGGACAACACCATTAATACATACTTTGCAGGGTGGTTGGGATCATTAGAAATTAACGTATGTAAAGCACCTAGCAGAGTGTCTTTCCCATAATAGGAACACTATAAATGGGGCCAATTATGATGATGATGTATGTGCATAAAGAAAAGGGTATTAATGTGCCCAGCTCCTCTCTTCTCCCTTCAAACCTCAGGAGTGTAGCAGAGACTGCAAAAACAACCTGTTGGCTTTTTCCTTATGCATAGTCCAGTGGCAAAGGCCGCCTAAAGTGTTACTGGACAGCGCTACTCTGAGGAGTAAGTGGCACAGCCACCAAGAAGGAACCAGAAAATGTATGTATTCACAACATCCTCAGACATGGATGGGTTTGGAGGTTGTGACCTCAGGTTGCCTGATGGCCAAATCATGCAGGCAGCAATTTTGCTGCCTAGAGGAATTCAGCTGTGTCTTATCTAGAGAAGGGAAATAAAAGAATAAAATTGACTGAAGAAATGGTTGTGGGTATTTTTTCTGTCTAAAGAATTCTATTTAGAATATGAAGTTCTCACATTTCCTCGCAATCCAGATCTTCTATTTCTGCAGTCAAAAAGCAGAGGTGCCCAGCTCTTACTGCGTAGAATAGAAAGTCATTTTATTCAGACCTGGCCACAAAGAAAGGAAAATTCATCCCATCTGGAACTGGTTCCCAGGCAGAGGAAGGGAATAGGGAGTAGGAAGTCAGGGTCTCAGGATTAAAAAAGAAAAAGCATGTGTGCATGTTTACATATGTCCATATAAATAGACATATACATATTTATGCAAAATGCTGTAATTTTAAGGCATGTGGCATAGTACTTTTACTTAGAATGAAATAGGTTAGTTTAGGGCATGACCGATTATCTAGGGGAAAGAGAAGGAGTAGAAGCTGACGTAAAGTAACTGGGCCTGTTCTGAGATGTTCTGTTTATCATCAAAACAGTTTTGTCTTATGAACCTTAAAAAAATTAGCGTCCTTGTGATCATTGCAGGCCAAGTGTAAGTGCTCCCGCCCTGATGGGGAGTGCTTCATAAGTAACAGGAGGCTAAACGCTGAACATCTGCGCTCTGCGAGGAGGTTCTGGCTGCTCGGGAGCCATCTGCTGGCTGTTGTCAGGAGAGTCTGGGCTGAACCTCAGGTCTTATTCTTGTTTCATCTGTACCGGGAGAAGGACTGGAGGAACCCTCTAGGCTGTGTGTTCCTGAGGGCAGGAACCATGTGGCTTTCACTCTTCTGTGGATGCTCACATGTAGCAAATGGTCAATTAAGTTTTATTGACTTAATATTGAGTAGTGTAGGGTGTAGGATTAAAGATTTTTGTGAAATCGTGTGGATAAAATGAAAGTTCCTGTGGCCAGGATTCTCACCTGGCCCTGGTTGGCTAGCTCACTGCACATGTGTGGGCAATGCATTGCTATTGACTCTATATAAAGAGCTCCACCCAGTGTTCTGGGCCATAGGGTGGCACAGCTGCAAGGCTGAAGGAGAGCAGAGAAGAGGCTGGCTAGTGCTGAGGACAGAGGCCCGGAGGACGGCTGTGCGGGCAGAGAGGCCTAGAGGCAGAGACTGGCTTGCTGTGTGCAGACTTGCTCTGAGTGGATGAGGTTTTAGCGATTGACCTGCCACTTGGACATAAAGTTGGGTATAACCCTTTCACCCCAAGAATGTTCTACTGTCATTTATTTGGTCTCACTGAGTCCATAGTGAACTTGCCCAGGGCTGAAACCCATTGGCAAGACAATTGGCAACAGTCTGCAGGGTTCATTGGTGACCAGGGAAAAAGAACGGGCTGACCTCATGGAAGGAGTGTTTCAGCGGCTGCACCTATGATGGGGAGACATCCAAGTGTCCCCTGTGGACATGTGCTGTGAAGGGGTGGAGGGCTGGGCTCCACCCCAAGAGAAAGCTGATCGAAATGGGTGTCATTATGAAGTGCTGCGGCCTGAGAGGAAGCAGCACGAGGAGCTGCGGCCCAAGAAGGAGCAGATGGGAGTGCAGGCTGCCAGATGCCGTGGGGCAGGTGGAGGAAGAGGCCCGAGAAGGGGCAGCACGAGAAGCAGCAGCCCGCAGGCTGCCGGGTGCCCTGGGGCAGGTGAGGGAAGAGGCCCAAGAAGCAGCAGCACGCAGGCTGCCGGGTGCCATGGGGCAGGTCAGGGATGTAGGGGAACCGTCAGCCCAGAAATGGAGGAGCAGAGGTGTGATGAACAGGTGGGGGTGGAGGTCCTGCCGGTGCGGAGGCATCGGCCCCTCCTCGGTTGAGCCCCCACCTGGGTGGAAGCTGGTGGATAAGCCAGAGGGACTCGGCAACCGCGGTTCTTCCAGGAGAGGCTCGGCCCCTCCTCAGGTCATGGAGCGCTCCATGCTCTGCTGCGTCCTCAGGCTCAAGCACAAAAGGAAATACGGTCTGCTTCTCAAGGAAGAATTTAAAAGTTCATGAGGACCCAGATGTGGGTTGGTTTTAGAAAAGGCCGGAGCAGACAGAAATTGGACTGGAGCTGCAGTTCTGGCTGCTGGGACGAGGTGGAGGGCAGACAGGAAGCAACAATATCAGCCTGCGTGTCTACTGGACTTTATGTTGGAGAGGCTGGAGAAGGTGGGTACCGTAAGGCCCACCCATGGTCCTTTTGGTTAATGCCTTTGAGTAGAACTGGTTTGAGTACAGCCAGGATGACCACTTGGTGGCAATGGATCTCCTCAGGCCTGAGGGTTATTATAATTTATTAGAACTGGTTTGAATACAGCCAGGATGCAATGGGTCTCCCCCAGGTTTGAGGGTTATTATAATTTGTTGTAATTTTTGTTATTTGTATATTGTCATAGCCTCTGTTATTATGGAATTTGGTTACAATGCTCCGGCTTTCTTGCACAGGGACCATTGCAGAGGATTGAGGGCACATAAATTGAAAGGAGAGAATCCTGGAGGGGTGGAGTGTGGATAAAATGAAGGTTCCTGTGGCCAGGATTCTCACGTGGCCCTGGTGGTTAGCTCACTACACATGTGGGCAATGCATTGCTACTGACTGTATGTAAAGAGCTCCACCCAGTGCTCTGGGTGACACGGTGGCAGGGCTGCAAGGCTGCAGGAGAGCAGAACAGAGGCTGGAGTGGTGGCAGTGCTGAGGACAGAGGCCCAGAGGATGGCTGTGTGGGTAGAGAGGCCCAGAGGCAGAGACTGGCCTGCTGCATGCAGACTCGCTCTGAGTGGTTGAGATTTTAGTGTTGGACCTGCCACTGTGGAAATAAAGTTGGGTATAACCCTTTCATCCCAAGAATGTTCTACTGTCATTTCTTTGGTCACACTGAATCCATAGTGAACTTGCCTGGGGCTGAAACCCATTGGCATGCCGTCATGTTAACCTTTGTCTTAAAAGGGCTAGTAGGCATCTTTTGGGTAGCTTCTCGTGTGTGTGTTTGCAAGCCTGTGCAAGAGAGAGGGGAGGGAAGGTGGGGAGCAAAGGGGGAGTGAGTGAGGGAGCAGCAGGGGCAGGAAGGGTACTGTGAAGGGGGCCGAGATCTGCTTCCACGGAACTGATTTCTGAGGAATATAATTGAATTGGTTCAGGACCCAGTTAGGGAACAAAACCTACACCAGTTACTTAGCAGAATTTAACGTGGACGATCGAAAAGGCACAAGGGAACACTGAGGTCTCGGAGGGATAGTAACAGAAAGCAGCAGGTGCCTCTCTGGCTGGGGGAGCAGAGGGCAGAAGTGGGGGCCCTTGGAACCTAGAAGTTGGCAGGAGGCAGGGCCTGAGAACTCTCAGGGGAAGTGCTGCCCCCTGGGGCTGGGGGTTCGGGATCTTAGTGGAGGATCCCCTTAGTGGAGAAGCCCCCACCTTCCACAGAACTGAGACTCAGACCCCTGCGAAGGGGGCAGCATCCAGGGATGCTGACATTTCCGTGGGGGTGTGATGAGGCTGTTGCTGGGAGTGTGGAAAGAATCCAGGGGCTGGACCCAGCTGCTGGCCAGGTGGGAGGAGTGAGTCCCCCTCCTCCTGCCTCCGGTCCTCCCTCAAGTACATTCTCTCATCAGAACCTGACGGGAGCTGGTTGGAAAAGGGGAAATAGCGGCGTTCCGAGTCCTGGCCCAGTAGTCAGTCACTGGCACTGTGATGTGCATTTCACATTAGGGGTTGCCAGCCAAAGAGCACTATTTGGTCACAGAAATTGCAATGAAGAGACTTTTTAACAGCTTCACTCTAAGTCACTCAACAAATTGGCAGTGTGATAAGAATGTGCTTTACGTTTATCCATATTAATTAAGCCAACACCAACTGAGCACCACCTCTTCTGAAAAAGGAAGGAGCTTCTGGAGTGGAGATAGCAGCACATAGTTGTGTACATCTTGGGAAAACATTTTTTCCCTCCATCTCCTACTTAATGATTTCTTAATCTGTAAGATGTTCAGATAAAGAATTAGTGAATGATGGGAAATGCACACAAATTAGAAAAATCTTAGTTGACTTGGGATTTTTAAAAGCAAGGGTGGTTATCCTTCCGTTTGTCATCTTTCACAGTGCCTCCTCTCGTTGCAGGAATGCCGTGCTTGCAATTTGAGGTTAGACAGCTTCCGTGTAGTTGTCAACCTCAGCACGACTTGGAACTACAGATGAGTGCATGAGCACAAGCTCTCCGCATCCCCCTCTTTGTATATGTCAATATAATCAAGCCTTAACTGGACACCGCCTTGTCCCTGGAAAGCTCAGTGTGGATTTTATAAGGCTATGCCAATTACAGCTGATAATTGTTGCCGTACTCCTTTCTGAATAAGCAAATACTCGGGCAGGCTCTCTAAACAGACATGGCGCAGAGCTCAAGGTGACAAGCCAAACTCCCCTTAGGGAGAGGGAATGAAAGGTGATGGATTCTCTTTGAGAAGAAAGTTAAGGGGAAAAGTGCCTGGGTGAGTGAATATATGGTCCTCCTCTTCACGTGGCTGTGACACACCCAATTTAAGGACTTCGCTGATTGCGGGAGTGTGGCTGGGCAGGATGACTGGAGAGCTGCCCGGGGCTCCTGTGCCCTGGGTTGGTAACTGGAAGAAGGTGAGCGCTGCTTGTGAGACTTAGAGGGCGCTCCACAGCGAAGTACTCCCAGCATGGGAAGCAGCCAGACTTGATTAGATTCCTGGTTTATGGACTCTTGTCTGTGTTTCTCAGGGCTAAGTCTACAGTAATGGCTGCAAGCAGGGCAGTGTCAAGGGAACCCATGGTTTTGCTGTCAGATTTCCTGTTACCTTCTGTGTAGCCTTGGACAATGACCATAACCTTTCTGAGCCTTGTTCCCCAGGCTAATTATCTTAAAGTGGTGGATTATGCGTATTTACTTAACAGCATTCTTATGATGGTTAAATGATCTTTATGTGAATGTGACTGACACATGGTACTGTGGTCATCCAGTAATGTCAGATACCCTTGTCTTTCTGCATTTTTGTGTGTCTTGTTCTGTGCTGGGGTAATGATGTCTGGGAAGTGTAAGGAACGCTAGGGTTGGCATCTCATTTCTCCCCTTAGGAGAAGAGAAGAGGGCATTAAATTGTATTTGCATACAAAGAAATTAGTGAATACAAATGTATTGTCCTGAACTATAGCAGTAGCCACGTATGTCTATGGAAGAAACATGTTACAAATATCGAGTAGCTAGAAGTCTTTGGAAATTTGGATAGATGGCAGATGTGTTCATGATGCATGTGGCTTTTAAGCTGGGGCCCTGAGGAGTTTGAATGGGATGGAAGAGAGAGGAGGTGCCAGTATATCCTTGCCAGGGCAGTGTCTTGGGTATGTGTCTAGGCTGGGGACGAATGTGGTGTGTGTGTCAGGGCCAGGAAGGAGACCTGGCTTGCCTGGGATCAGGACTAGATGAGAGAAATTGTAGGGGAGGGTGGGATAAAGGAGGACTAGTTTTCTGGAAGTCCTTGAACTATATGCTAAGAGCTCTGATGAGCGTTGGAGAGCTACAGTGCTTTCCTAATCAGATGAGTGACATGATGGAAAGGGTTCTTCAAGGAGACAAGCGTCCTGAGTCCTGGGGGGAGGGCTGGCAGCTCAGCTTAGTCATGAAGAATGGAGGGCCCCCCCATCATGAATGAGCCTGGGGAGGATGTGAGTGTGAGGAGATAGTGACAGCATGTGGCTGTGCATGAAGGGAGGAGAGGACAGGGAGACGTCAAAAGAAAATTCACAGATTTTGAGGCCAAGAGATCTGCAGCTGCATGACGTCTACATTGGAATATTTGGTCTGATCTATGCATCTATCTCAGGGATTCGGTGCACATTGCCGAGGTGCTGAATTCCCGGGATGAGCCCCCTGTATTACTGCTGCTGCTCTGCTCCTGCCACTTCTCCTCCTCCTCCTCCTATTACTACCACCACTGCTGCTACTACTACTACTACTACTACTACCACTGCACTACTGCTGCTGCTGCTACAACTACTCTGTCACTATTACTGCCGCTGCTACACTGCTACCACTCCCCCACCACCCCTCCTCCGCCGCCGCCTCTATTACTACTACTACTACCAGGTAAGGATTGTTCAGATCGAACTGTGGACTAGGTACTGTGCTAAGCACTTTACATGAGTTACTTAATTCTTACACACCATGAAGCGTTCACTTATTAAATGTCTTTTTCAGCACCTTCTATGTGACGGGGGCAGTGATAGGCCTTGGGATATAATGGGGGCAGTGCCTCATCCTCACTGAGTTTATAGTCTGTCTGGGGCTTCAGATGATAAACATGTAAATAAACGAATGAGGTATTGAAGGTTGTGATTAGAGCTGTGAAAAAAAATGGTAGTGAAGGAGTTGAACAGAGGGACCTACCTTAGAGAATGTTCAAGAAAGAGCTGAATCTAAAATGAGCCCTGAAGGATGCGGAGGAGCCAGCCATGAGGGAGGCCAGGGAAGAGCATTTCATTTTGGGGGAATAGTAAGGCGAAGCTGGCAGGCCATGGGAAATGCCAGAGGCTGTGTCCCTGGAATCCCAGGGTGGGGAAAAGACGGAGTGGCAGGAGATGTGGGAGGCCCGAAGGCAGCCTGGGTCAGAGGGGAGCGGCCTTGTGCGCTGGGGGGTGGGGGTGGGTCCAGTAGGAAGACCCTGAGGGATGTAAGCTGAGCGGCCTGGTCTGACTCCCATTCAAAACGAGCATATATGGAGAATGGGTTGGAAGGAATGTGGGAGAAGAGAGGAAGACAGTCGGAAGTCTAGGTGTTTGAATGGGTGAGGGAAGATGGGGAAGTAGAGGTGACAGAAACGGAGGCGGTGGGACTGATTCTGACGTAGGACTAAGAGAATTTGTAGGTGGAGAGGATGCAGGGGCAAGAGAGAGAAGAACGATCACCAGGCCTCTTGTTTTAGGGGCTGAGTGATGGCGGTGCTCGCCCAGAGAAGACTGGGCAGACTTGGTTTGGAGGAAGACCAGGAATCCCTTACAGGATGCCCTGGGTTTGGGAGGCCTTTGCGTCTTAAATGTGGAACGAACGCTTGTGCAGTAGGGTTTATGAGTCTCGGTTAGAGGTGCTGTTTTAAAACCACAGGGAAGGCAGATCTACCCAGGGAATGAATGTGGGGAGAGGAGAGGTCCAGGGAAGGCCGACAAGACCACCAGCAGTTGGGGTCAGCTAGAGGGAGAGGCTGAGGAGGAGGAAAGCTGGGGCTGTGGCGGTCGGGAAGCTCAGGGGAGGAGGCCGGGAGGGGCCGGGACTGGTCAGCAGGGGCCGAGCTGCTGGGGGGCAGCTGCAGCGAGGGAAGCCATCAGGTTTGTTAGACGGGAGGTCCTCAGGGGCCTCGAAGACTCAGCTAGTGTGGTTGTGGGGACAGAAGTGAGGCAATTGGGTTAAGAAGTGGGTGGAGTTGAAGAGCAAGCTCTGTAGATGACTCTTAGCAGTTGTGGTTCCTTTACTGTCCCCACTGGGCATTTGAGGAAACAGGCTCCTGGCGCTTTGCGCCCTGCCCAGAGTCACTCGGCAAGCATTTGGCAGAGCTGGGTTTTGAACCCACACGTGTTTAACTCGGCAGCCCTGCCCTTACTCTTTTAGCCTCTGTGCCAAACAAGTGTTTACGTTACCATTTGAATGAATTATGTATTTTCTAATTAGTTCCTTGTTTCCCATTTTCTCTCACTTGGTTGCCTTTGCAAAATGGTCTCTGATTAAGATCCAGATAAAGTAAATACAGGAGAAAGGCTGTATTAAAAAGGAAATGATGATAGATAAATCAAGGGAATTCAAGTGTAAAGTTTATAAATATATTCATTGATTGTCTTCAGCTCTCCTAAAGCACATACTAGGATCTTCTGAAATGAAGACTGTTTTATTCTTTGTTTTTTTCCCATTAAATTTAGGCCTCAGGCGATACCTGTGGAAATGCTTTGAAAAAAAGAAAAGCAAAAAGGCCCCTTCTCCTTCCCCTGTTGCATTTCCCGATTTCTTTCTTCCCTGTCTTGTCATTTCCATCCTGTTATTCGCGAGGCTGCTGCTGCCTCTTTGGAGACTTGGGTGCCTCTTGTAAGGTCCCAGGCTTTTCCTCCAAAACCCAATTCCTTGTTTCTCCTGCTCACAGCAGAGGCACCAACAAGGAGGGAAACCTTTTCTTTCTGATCGGTATCTGACAAAGCAGAAATTAGATTTCAGCTAGCTGTCAGGTAGCATACCACTAGTTACAGTTAATCTCAGAACTCAGATGTAGGGCAGGTGAGCCTTCATATTTAATTCACATTCATACTCAGTTTTGATAACTCAATCCCCATAGCTTATGCTTATCTTTTACTGGACAGTTCTTACCTTGCCGACATACAAAGGGTCAGTTCCCGTATATTCTTCCAGAACAAAAAACTGGTTCCAAACCCAGCTCCTCTTTGTCCGTGAGTGTGACTGTGGTCTGTCTGACGGCAGCACTTCTAATTCACCGGGCGGTGTTGGTGTCCCCGAGAGCACGGTGGTCGTCAGGCCCATCAGTCCCCAGAAGCACAAGGACATGCCAAGTCCCAGCCAGCTCTTTGCATTGCTCATTCTACCCGAAGTCCACATGGGATTGCCAGGTTTGCAGAAAGTAACAGGATGATAAGCCACTGGAACTTGAGTATTTTCCAAATTAGCTGTTTACTGGACACTTAAGCTTCCCAAATGAGATCACGATGCGGGTCAATCTGCTTGAAGTTGACTTCCTGTCAAGTTAAAGAAAACACAGTGTGATGGTGTCAAATTCTTTTCTGTGAGTTTGTAGCAAGTTTTCAAGAAATGGCAGTAAATATTCAGTTTTCTACTCAACGAATTAAGAGTTATAGCATGTTACTGCTATAGATATCTTTGAGTAATAAACAATATTTTGATATAAAAAAGACAACTTATCTTGCAATAATCAATCCCACACCTTTGGATATGGATTTCAGCAGGAATAAAACTACTGAATAAATTTCTTCTCATTGGTAACAGCTGGAGGGTTATGCTGTATTATTGATTGGCTTGAATTAACAGTGTGTTCTTTGAAATATTTATGTTCAGACAGCCTCCTAAACTCTTAAAAATAGCATTCATTTCCAAAATTGACAGCTAATAACTAATGTTTTCATTAGCCCAACTGCTTTTCTTGACTCATTAAAAAACCAAAAGCAACATCTAACTATCTTTTTTGACACCCACAATAATCTTGTGCCTACCCCATGCATGGTACTGACAAAACTAGGAATGTTGGACTTCGTTTATAAGCAGCCATGGATCACTTCTGACTTTAATCATTCTGAGCTCATGGTGGAACGGTTTCATACTCTGCTGCTTTGGCTGTGAAGCTCTGATAGGGACTGCTTATGTGACCTTTCCAGGATTTCAGTGGTCAGTTAATTGTTCTGTCATTCACAAAAAATGTTAAAGTGCCATTAGTCACATGCTGCTGTGATCACAGTAAGAGAGTCTAGCTAACATATTTTTTTTTTCCTGGTCCAAAAAGCTTGTTTAGGCAAAGCAATGTTGACTTGTACCTTGTGGACACCTTTTCATCAGTCAAACTTCTTTTGTCGCTATGAAGTCAGATTAGCTGGTGGCCTCACTCCTTGGCTATGACCTCATCAACCTTTTCTTCCTTTATGTTAGCTGGGTTCAATGAGGTGTCATAGTTTTCAAGCCAAACAACCAAAATGTCTTCTGTGGGTTTTTTTCCCCCACTGTTAATGTGGGAGAACTGCTGTCATCTCAGAACAAATGGGGCTTTCAGACCCATGCAACTAAATAATGCTCCATTTCTACAAACGGTTTAAAATGAATGCATTGATGCTAACTCAATTACCACCTTCCACCTGTCATCATGAGAACTCATTTAGCTTCCTCTCAAATACTCACTATTGAAATGAACAAAAGAAAAATATATCTTATAATCATTTCGTACAATATGCCTCTTCATTTCTGTATAAGAAATCACTTCAGTGAGAACTGATACAGAGGAAAAGCTGGGGAGACTATAGAATTTCTGTATCAGAATGGGAAACGGTGCCCTTAGGAGTTCTAGCTCTATAGGCACATTGATGGCTAAGTGAAAGCAAGCCAGGTGCCTTATTTAGGGTGATGTGTTTGTTAATACAGAACACTGGTGTGCTAGAAGGTGGATTACCAGGTAGATTTCTCTTTGGACCAGCGGGCAGAAACCAGCTCAAGTTTCTCTGATCCCTGTGTAAGGGGAGGCAGGCATTCTGGAAGAAGGAATCTGAACACAGGAGATGAATTAATGAAAAAGATGGGTGAGACATAGCTATGCTGTTTTAGGGACCTAGAAGATGGACCAAAGGGCATTACCAAAAAAAAGCCATTGACCGAATACTGTGATTGGTAGCCACAAAGGGAATATTCCATGTGTTGTGAGATAAAACCCTATCTGTAATTTCCCCAAAGAGCACCAGACTAAGAGTCAGCTGGGCCCCTGGTTCTAGCTTCATTACCTCTGACTGGTCACTTCTGTGAAGTTTGTCCCTCACCTGCCAAGTGGGGAATGACAGTTCTCTCACTGACCTCAGAGGACTACCAGGAGGGCCTGCTGGCATAATGTAGGTGAAAGGGCTCTGCAAATGAGTAAGGTGGCAGCTGACGTTTGAACAGCCACACAGGGAGAAATAGCTGAGTTGTAAAAATGATGAAGCTAAGCCTGAAATGTGTTCCATACACTTTTTGGGCCAAAATCCTGAAACGGCTTACTGTATGTGTTATTTTGCAAATCTCTGCAACTATAATAAGTACTATTGAGTAGTAGACTGTGGCCCAGCCGAATTCTGTAATAACCAGACATAGTTTTTCCATATAAAGAAACTGAATGAAGGACTAGCTATTAGGAAGTTCTGTAGAATAGAGAAAATTCTTTAGATCGCATTTATCAAAGATAGCGCTTAATATATCTACTCTATTTAGTATATTTCCTTTAATGCCTGTGTTTCATATGTGTACATTTTGCCTAATTATCAGTTTCGGTTATTTTGATTATTTTCTGTGGCTAGTTATAGTGTCTTTTGGATTCTAAGTGTGCAGGGGCATGTGTGTGTGCGCGCGCACATGTCCCTATCCTGTTTGCATTGGCTGAATTTTCTGGACAGAATGAGATTTGAAATTTTGAGAGATTTTAAGTACTGTCCCTTATAGTCTTCCATCTCTTACAAAGTAGACATGGATTCTTGCCAATTAAAATCATCTCTACCTATAGCTGTGGTCTGAAGAGCTCAAGAAAAAAAAGTGTTCTTTGGAATCTTTGGGATGAATATTTCGTAGGCAGTTTGGCTACCTCAAATTTCATTTCTTTCCTGCCCACCTTGGCCTCCTGCACGTGAGTGCAAAGCCCTCACGTTCCTACCTTTCACTGGCATGTACAGAAGTGGCCTGTGGATGTTCAGGACCCATGGAGCCCTCAGTGATCCTATGAAAGCTGTGGAGCTCCTCTCGTGATCCCTCTAAAACCCAGAGCATCAAAGCCTGCAGTGCGTGTAAACTCTTCCTGTGTTAAATAACTTGATAGTTACCGTTGATGGAGAGCACCTCATTCCTGCTTCCTCAGGACAGAATGCATGAAAGATACTCCCTGCCTAACTTTTTAGAAAGTAGAACCAGGGTTATACAATAGCAACATTACTTTTTCACAGTTAGAGCTGTTTATACAACTGAAGGGAAAAACAGTTCTATCAGAAATACTAACCAGCTTGCAATTGTTATAAATAATATAGTTCTCACATTCCTGCATTTTTCCTATGTGATAAGAACAGCAATGATGTGTTTGAAGGTGGGCTAATTTCTGTTGTTCATATAAAAGAAGAGACTAATATATGTATGTATATATAAATAGATTTGCTTTGGAAGAACACATATGCCACACAAAGAATACATTAGTGGAAATTGACTTCTGTGTTAAATGAGTCTTTTAAAAGTTTTTCCTCACATCCTGCCTGAAGAAAGCAAACAGCTTGGTAATGAACGCAGTAGGAAGGAATTAAAGTTGTACATAAAGTGTGCTCTCGGTGAATTGTTTATTTCGGTATTTAAATTTGTTGTGATATTTTAAATGTAGAGGAAGGGATGGTTACCGCTTTCTCCTTGAAATGAACTGGGCTTTTATGGTCTCCCTCTGATTTCTTTCTTCATTATTCCAGTTTTTCTGAGCTTTACGTGGTTAATGGAAGTTCTACTTAGCAACGCTCAAACAACATTGCCATAGAAGCAGAAAGTCAGTTGCCTCTGCTGGTGACTGTCCCTATGATGTGGCCTGTGCCTGCACAGAAGTAAATATAGACAGTGGTCTTTTGGTTTTAGGCAGCTAAACTTCTGAAGCTGTTACTTTTACTTATAGAAAGAGCCTCCCTCTAAAATGTAGTTAAAAAGAAGAAACTTTGTGACGATCCTAGACATTACTGCGAAATACTACAGTGTCCCATGAGGTGCATCACCATTAAACTGGAACACAACTCAGTGTCACAGCATTATTCCACCTCTCAGTCAAGGGTCTTCCTTGACAGATATATGGAAGCCCATTTTACTAAGCAGTCAAATTTCTTCGGTATATAAAACCCACAAAGAACAAAGCAGGTGGTTGTGGATACCAAGCGGAGTGAAAAATTCATAAGATGCTGATACCTTTGAATATGTACAGTTCACAAACAGCAAGATTCCCACTGTGGAATCCCATAAAGAAAAATATTTTCAGTCATTCTGGAAGCAAACGTTGAACATTCCTGAATCCGGATGTCTATGTCTGTGTTACCGACCAAAGTCCACCCCAAGGATCTCTTTGGAAAGAGTATGTAGTATGGTTTTGTATGCTGGAAGCTGAGATGGTTTCCTGCCCTAAAGTCTTTTTCATTTACTACAGATGTTCCATCTCAGTTTCCTCTGGAGTAGTCATTAAGGGCAACAAAGCCCCATCCTTCTTTTATGGCCATCAACTCCCAGCCTTCCCTAAGCCACCCATCTACAGAGGTCAGCCCTTAACAGAGCTGGAAGAGGCTGTATAGGTACCAGATTTCCTGGATTTCGGTTGTGCTCTCACTTCCACTCCCTGTCTCTGCATCTCACCTGCCTCACGACACTGCCCCAACCCCGAAGTCAGCATTTCTGAAATGGGATCTCTCTTAGAATCAGTGTGTACATTTAATGCAGTCATACTACCTTCTCCCAACCCTCAAAGGAGCTGTTAATCAACTGATGGTGTGTATAGAGGTGAGGAATTATGACATTACCTTAAAAAAAATTGAACAGGTGAAGAAAAGCAAAGAATAATTTTTGGTGGAGATTTCATAGAAAAGGTGGTCATCACCCATGTTTATGCTAATTTTGATCAATTTATCTTTCTATGAATTCCTGCTTCTCCAAGTTCCTCAAAAACTTGTGAATCCCGAGCCTCAAAGTCCAGCTCCTATAATGTTCATTCAAGCCATTATCAGTCTCTGAAATCTTCCCCTTTCTTCCCACCTGTTCTTTTTGCACTTCTCCTTTCCACAACCAAACTAGTTTATGGAAGAGTTGTTTTGAGAAGTTCAGAAACGGAACCGTGGGGTTGATGTGGCTGAGGGGGACGTATAGGATGGCTGACTTAGGAGTGTGTGTGTCCACGTGTAGGTGAGAGGAATAGAGCAAAAAAAAAAAAAATGGTGGGAAGTTTGAATTTTGTATTTAGGCATGGGCTTTGAAAAACCTGATCAGTCCA